GCGCATGCGTCCGTAAACCTCTGCCCTCCCCCGTCAAAAACACCCAATCCCTCCCCGATCACTTACGATAGTTCCTAACGACCGCACCCCCCCTGCTCCTCCTGCTCTTGCTCGTTACACCGTTTCCCCTGCTCCTCCTGCTCTTGCTCGTTACACCGTTTCCCCTGCCCTTACACCACCTGCCCGCCACCCCCACCCGCCCACCCCTCTCCTAGTGTTTTCTCCCTCCCCCTCGCCTCCCCTTCACCTGCCCCCCTTCCCCCTTCCCCCTTCCCCCCCTCCACCCCCCCCAAACCCCACCTGCAGATCGAACCAGTTCAGACAAAAGGGTGTCAGCGCCACCGGAGCCCGCGTGCTGCTGGTGGCACTACCCGCACCTCCCGCCAGCAGCGACGGACCCGCACCACCACCACCACCACCACCACCTTTCCCTTCCCCTCCCCCTGCTGCGAGGAGTGCTGCTCCCGACCCACTGCCTGCTCCTGCTCCCGCCCTCCCACCGCTGGCTGCTGCGGCTGCTTCTTTCCCTGCTCCTCCTGCTTCACTCGCTGTTCCTGCTGTCGTTGCCCCTCCTGCTCCTCCCGGGGAGGGGTGGGAGAGGAGGGTGTCGGGCAGGGAGGACAGCGACCTAAATCCGCCAATGCGCCTCTTGACCACAGGTGCTGCTGCATCTGCCTCACCGCCTGCTGCTGCTACCTCTGCCGCTGTGGCTGCTGCCCCCGCCGCTGCTTTCTGCGCCGCCGCCTTCTCCTCTGCCGCTGCTACGATCTTGTCTGAGGGCAGGCTGATGGTCTTGTTGGCGGTCTTGCGGTCAGCGGCGGAGGCGGAGGCGGCGGCTGTGTCGAATAGGTCGACACCGGTGGTGGCGATACCGCGGACCAGGACCTTGGAGGGGGGGGATGAGGGAGGGGAGGGGGAGGGAGAGAGGGAGAGGGGGGGGGGCAGGCATAAGACCACGTTGTATATGAGGTGGGCGGAGGGAGGGGAAGATGAGGGAGAGGGAGGAGGGGCTACATGGCCGCTTTATATTGCACCGATGTATGTGCACACGTCGCCGAGCGACGGTGGTGCTTTGCTTGCCTTTGCTTGCCTGCCTGCGTGCATGCGTGTTGTGTTACACCAGCTAACGACACCTACCCACCCACCCCACCCCCACCCCACCTGTGTGCAAGTGAGGGGGTCCAGTGGAGTGAAGATGTTGTAGGGGTACGACACCACCAGGCCGTACTGCTCCACCCGGGGGTCTGCAGGCGCATGCGAGGGGGGGAGGAGGGGGAGGTGTGGGAAGGAATATATGAATGATAACAATATAAAGAAATGACGAGTGAAGCAACCGGCGTCCTTATGGGGGGCGGAGGAGGGGGGGCGGAGGAGGATGAAAGGGCGGCGGGGGAGGAGGCCACACATGTTGGGCTATACAGGTGCCGTACCCAGCCACCCAGCCACCTCCCTCCGCCCCGATCCCAATTGAACCATTGTTACGAACCAGGGTCCACACCTCCAGCTCACCATACCTCCCGCCTGCACCCCCTCGCTCTATGCTCCTCCCCACTACCTCCCCCTTGCATGCCCTCCCTCCCTCACCTCCCCCCTCACCCCCTCCTCACACACCCACCCACAAAGTTGACTTGCGCGTTGGTCTGCCCGATGGCCTCCACCCCCGCGAACCCCAGCGAGTTGTCACCGCGGGTCACTTGCGCTCGGGAGGCGGCGGGGCCGGTGGAGGGGGCGTTGAGGGAGGTGGCCTGGGCCTGTCACACAGCAGCAGGGGGGAGGGAGGGGTGAATGAGGGGTAAAGGGAGGAAACAAAACCCATGGTTGCTGTGAGGGGGAGGCCGTAGAGGGAGCTGCCGTCCGTTCCTTGCTCCTCGTCCCCCCTCCCCCCTTCCCCCTCCGCACACCCCCCCTCCCCCCCACCTGGCTGGTGGACAGCCCCAGGCTGCTGCTCAGCGGGTTGAACCCCACCTCCCCCACCCAGTAGTAGCCGGCAGCCGCGGAGGCGCCCGAGGGGCCGGTGTCCGCCTCTCCCAGGAAGTAGGCGCGACTGGGGAAGTAGGAGCAGCACTCTGGGGGGGGGGGGAGATTGGTGGTAGGGGTGGGCACTGGGAAAGGAGGGCGAAAGCAAAAACCGAATAACGGTAAGTGGATCAGACAAGCGTAGGAGGAAGCCCCCTCCCTTCCCCTTCCCTCCCATTTCCCCCCTCCCTCCCATTTCCCCCCGCCCTCCCCGCCCTCCCCGCCCTCCCCGCCCTCCCCGCCCTCCCCGCCCTCCCCGCCCTCCCCGCCCTCCCCGCCCTCCCCGCCCTCCCCGCCCTCCCCGCCCTCCCCGCCCTCCCCGCCCTCCCCCCACTTACGGAACCACTTGGGCACCGCCACCCAGGCGGCGGTGGCCGCTGAGGGGCGGTCCTGCCCGCCCTGCCCCCCGGTCAGGTAGGACAGCCAGCGGCCCTGGCTGGGGTTGACGGCTAGGGACTGGGGAGGGGGGAAGGGGGAGGATGGAAGGGGGAGGGGGGAAGGGGGGGGCGCGGTAGGTCAGGAGCGGGAGGGGACGTGCAGGACGCGGAGGAGGAAGATGGTGGTCCACGGAGCAGGCATGGAGGGGAAGGAGGGGAAGGTGGGCGGCAGGGAGGCAGGCAGGGAGGCAGGCAGGGAGGCAGGCAGGGAGGCAGGCAGGGAGGCAGGCAGGGAGGCAGGCAGGGAGGCAGGCAGGGAGGCAGGCAGGGAGGGGAAGGTGGGGGTTGCGGGGAGAGGGTGCTCTGCATGCACGCTGGGGAGGAGGGCGGGGGCATGTCGCCCTCGTACGTGTGTGTTGGTTTGTCGAAAGAGGGGGGAAAATTATATAAGAAATAAGGTGGGGTGAAAGGACGGATGCCAAGGCAATTAGGCAAATGATCCCTCCTGGTGTACGACTCATCCCTCCCCGAGTGCCTCAACCGACACGGGAGGCATGCCTCCGCGCCGCCGTGACATCCCATCCGCAGAAGCACTAACACTAACACACACACATCCAACCCGCCATACACCCCTGCCTACCTACCCACCCACCCGCCCGCAGCAGTTCTCTTCACCTCCTCCTCCCTGCGCGACCCCCTGCCCACCTCCACCACCCGCCCGCGTGTCAAATCCGTCTGTCAAAAGCGATCCCTGCACGTTTCTACACTTTCCGGCACACCAAGGTATGTTCCTTTCTTGCCCCCCCCTCTTGACCCCCACCCACCTCCCCACCCCACCTCGCCCCCCCACCTGTGCCGTGGAGAAGCCCGCCCCCACGTTGACGGTTCCGTCGAAGGCGAGGCGGAACTTGGCGTCGAAGGCGGCGGAGGCGGAGGAGGAGCCGGCGGGGGCGGAGGTATACCTGGGGGGGGAGGGGAGGAGGGGAAGGGGCGGCAAGGGGGGATGGGGTGCATGGGAGTACGGAGGGGAAAAAGAGGGGACAGGACACGGCTTCACCATGGGGTGCAAAGGTAGCCGGGGGAGGGGGAGGGAGGGTAGGAGAAGGGGAGGAAAAGGAAGGGATGAGGCGTCACCAACCCCTCTCCTTGGCCTTTCCCCGCGCTTCCTCCCTCCCCTTTGTCGGTGGCCCACCCTCCGTCCCATCCCCCACCCTTCCCCCTTATCCCTCAGTCAGCTAGTTGTTTCCTCTTTACTCCCCACCCTCCCCCCCACCCTCCCCGCCCGCCCACCCACCACGACAGCCCATCCAGGTGCAGCAGCTGGGGACCCAGGTACAGCTGCTGCAGCCGCCTGCCGCCACCGCCACCGCCGCTACGACTGCTGCCCCCCCTGCTGCTGCTGCCATCGTGTGTGCCGGCAGCGACACCACCACCACCACTTCCTCCGTTTCCATCCTCACCACCGCCTCCGCTGGTAATGGCATTGCCACCGCCGCCGTGACCGACATCACTGCCGCCGATACCATCGCCACTACTGCTGCTCACATGACCGCCGCCACGGTTACTACGACCGCTGCTGCTGCCACCATCCCGCCCGATGGCGCCGCTTGTTTGCGCCTTCCACATCTGGTTACCGCGATCATGCTGCCCCTGCCCTTGCTGCTGTCGTCCTGCTGCTCCTGCATTCCCCTCTCCCCCGCCTGCTGTCCTGCTCAGCGCCTGCTGCCAGAGCTGCCACAGCTGGATCCGCGCAGGCGGCTGCAGCAACACAACCGCGGAGGGGGTGGGAGGGGGGAGCGAGGAGGAGGATGATGGGGCGGGGTGCGACCCTAGCTGCAGGATATTTGCCTGACCGGCATTGGGCTGGGCAGCGGTTGGCGGTGGCGTGGTGACAAAGAGCGCGGAGGATGTTACGACGCTGTAAAAGAGGATTACGCCAAGGAAAGTTACTGCGGACGGTGCATATATCCGGTTCCTTTGGTGTTGCCGTCGAGGATGCCATTGTAGCGTCGCAGTGTGGAGGCAACCTTCCCTCAAGGCTGTAAACGCCATAACTATGCGCGTGGTGTAACAGTAATGCCAACAAGGATGCTGGTATTGCAGGCTTGTTGTGCAAAAGAACGGTCGCCAGGGTCGAACCGTCCAAGAGCGCTCGCATTCGCCCAAGAGACACTGCCAGCGTCGCAATAACTCATGCTAAAAGCTTTGATCAAACACCTGTATGTTTCGCGAATCCTAGCAGCCGGAAAGCTACCGGTATTCCTTTGCACACACTATGCTTGCTCAACTTCGTCCCTTCAACTTCGCACGAGCTCCTTCCCTCATCCACACTGAAGAGGCTGCAGCTTAGGATCTGGGCACGTGTCCATAATGTAACAGCAGACAAATCTTCTATAACCTGCAACCACAGGGCTCCAGCTTGGTTAACACGATGACCTCAACGACACTGGACCTTCACGAAGGATTACGTCGTTCGTTTCGTTAACCGCTTACATAAAAAACGTCGTTTTATAGGCTCGAGTGTGCGGTTCGCGAGCATTATGTACGGATTGCTCCCGACAAAGGCGCTAGATCCCTAGATGGGTCTTGACATATAGATATAGATCACAGAATACCTAACACGGAAGTCGGTAGTGGAGTAAGGCGTCGCGTATCCTATGTTCGGCAGATAACGGCAGCAGCCATGTCGCTAAAGTCAGACATAAGCAAGCAATTGGGCGCCCTCCTCCTGAAAGGATGGGCGATGCTAGCTGAGAGTTGTCCGCACTGCCAGGTTAGCTAACACGATAAATACGTTTTAGGGAAAAGACTTAGTTTGTCATTGTGGCAGCCTGCGGTAGAATAACTGATGGTCAGTACTAAACTTATGTACCCATAAAGCGCTATGTAAGGTGTTCCATTGAGGATGGCTCATCCTCTGGCGCAGGTCCCGCTCATGCGCGAGCGCCATTCGGAAGAGCGGCTATGCGTCAACTGCAAAACCACCTTTGTAATCGACGGGCAGGTGGGTTCAGCGTTGGTTTCTGCGTGAAATGATACGCGCGGTGACCTTCGTTGGAGATGCTGTAATAATACCTGTATGCCATGTGTTCAGTACGGAATGTTCCATGGCAGCCGACGACGCCCAACTGGTAGCACACGGGTCATACCCTCCGACCGGTGTTTTGGTTCCGAGGTTACCACAGGAACAAGCGGATGTACATTCCGATCCTTAACACTACACGACAGTGTCTAGTCTGGTTGAATGAACAACTCAATTGACCTTCATGATTTGATCTTGGCACCTTACACCATCATCTGTATAGCTCTTCTGAACCCCCCCAGGCTTGGGGCCTTCATAGCCAAGTCATCCCTTTCGCCCTCCTGCCGCCCTCCGTCCCTGCAGGGCCTGCGCCCCACCTCCGCGCCCTCGCCACCTGCTGCCGCTCCGGGCAAGCCACCCGCCCAGCCGCCCGCCGCCCAGGAGGACACCACCCGCCTGCACGCCGCGCCGGCAGCTGCTGAGGCGGCGGCGGCGGAAGAGGAGGAATCAAGGGAGGGTGTTATGGAGGATGCCGGGGAGGGGGAGGGGGAGGACGGCGAGGTGCCGTACGACCCGCTGGCTGATCCCCGCCTGGGTCCCTTTGCGGCCTCAACAGAAAAGGCCGCAGCAGCCGCACCTGCCGGTGGCACTGTCAGCGTAGCAGACGGGGACGGTGGAAAGGATGCTGGTGGTGGTGGTGGTGGCGGTGACAGTAGCGCCAAGCGCTGCCGGTTAGATCTGCCCGCCGGAGGACAGCAGCAGCAGCAGCAGCCGGGGCCAACACCCGCAGCAGCAGCAGCGCCCTCCACCTCTCCCTCGCGCCCCGACGTAGCAGAGTTGCTATCCACCAAGATGCTGCAGGTGGGGGTTTGGAGGTGGAGGAGTACGGGGGTGGAGGAGTACGGAGGTGGAGGAGTACAGGATGGCAACGCGGTGGTGGGGTGTTTGGAAGGGAGGAGGAGGGCTATGAAGAAGGGGGTGATGGGAGGTGTGTGGTGGGGCGCAACGGGAGGCTGCCGGCCCGTCGTGCGGGCAGGTATACCGGTAGTGTGCGGGTGGTGCACTTAATCCAATCCCGCTAGCTTCCCGCGCTCCTTCCTCTGTTTGAACGCCATGGCATACCTCCGCCTTTGCTATCCCTTGTCCCTTCTCTCCTCCTACTCTCCATCACCCCCCCTCCCACCTCAGGGCTGGGCGCTGCTAGACAAGTATTGCCCCAGGTGGGTTGGAGTGGGAGGGTGGTGGGGTGGAACTCATGAGTTGTCCGGAGGGGCTTGCTCACAACTACCGAACCAACCCTGTGTAACCACAACACCCACCCATTCCCCTCTCCTCCCCCTCCCCTTCCCCCCTTTCCCCCCGCCTGCCCCCCTGCCCCCCCCATACACACACACACGCAGGTGTTCCACGGTGTTGGTCCGCTCGCGCGCCACTCGCCGCATGTTCTGTGTGGCGTGTGACGCATGGGTGCTGCAGGAGGGGGAGAAGGAGGGGGAGAAGGAGGGGGAGAAGGAGGGGGAGAAGGAGGGGGTGAGGGAGGGGCAGCCGGGTCAGGCAGGGGGCCAGCAGGCGGCGCAGGGTGCACCCGGGGGGCGCTGCGCCGGCGGAGCAGCAGCAGCTGGGCAGCGGGGGGGGCAGGGAGGGCAGCAGGGGCAGGGGCAGGGGCAGGGGCAGCAGCTAGGGACGACATCTTCGGCCGAGCGGGTGGAAGTGCCGCCGCCACCGCAGCAGCAGCAGGTGGAGGGTACGAGCTATGACACGGAGGAGGAGGCGGCGGAGGAGGGGGCTGCTGGCGGGCCGCCCAGCGGGGATCCGCTGCTGCAGCGCATTGAGCGCACACTGGAGGCCAAGTGAGAGGGAGAGGGAGGGGGAAAAAAGAAATTCCAAAGTGTGGTATGATAATGAGACAAGTTGCTGACAGGGGGAGGGGGTGATGTGCCCGGGACGGCGTGACCCCGACAGGAGAGGAGAGGAGAGGAGGGTCTCTGGGATACACATGCGCAGAGCTATGCTTGTCTTGACCCCTTTACCCCCATCCCAATGCACTCCACGGTTGTAACCCCGCCTTTCCCACACCTTCATCCCCTCATCCCCTTCCCTCCCCCCTCCCGCCCCCCTGCCAGGATGCACCAGGCCAGCGAGGCGCTGCACCGCACCCCCGCCGCAGCCGACCTGCAGCGGGCGGGGGCGCTGGTGGGGCTGCTGGGGCAGTGCCTGGGGCTGCTGGGGCAGGTGCGGGACGAGCGGCAGCGGCTGCAGGACACCAGGAGGTACGGCAGCAGGGCGGGGAGGCAGGGTGGCGGGACGCCGCAGTAGGCGGGGCAGCAGCAGCAGCAGCGAGTGGGGTGAAGAGGAAGGTACTGACAGCAGGGGGGGAGGCAGGGTGCATCAGCAGCAGGCGGGGGAGGCAGGGTGCATCAGCAGCAGGCGGGGGAGGCAGGGCACAGAAGGGCGCTGCAGTAGGAGCAGCACTAGTGGGTGGGTAGGGTGTTGGCGTAAGGGAGCAGCAGGCGGTGGTGTGGTGAAGGAGGGCCAGTGGGGAGGGGGCTGTGAGAGCCGCCTGCTGCCTGCTGGTGCGCGGCTCAGAGTGAGGCGACGAGGGGGGTGGGTGGGTGGCCTCTAGGGGGGGTCAAAGACCATACCAAACCATAGGAGACCACCCTAGGGGGGAGGGGGGAAGTGGCAGGTGGCGCAGTGGTGGGGGTGGTGCAACCACCAGGTGGTGTTGCTTGCACGCTAGATGTGACATGGTGATGGGGGGACAGTGGGTCGGGAGGCAAGAGTCAGGTCAGGAGCAGCCGCCCGGGGTGTGCCGGGTGAGGCAGCGGTTACTGTTTAGTGCGGGTGGAACGCGGTACTTTGTTCATGCTGCAATTCTGCGAAAAGGCGTTTTAAGGTGTCTATGGTGGTGAACTGATTTGGCCTACGGATAAGTCCCTTTATGTGAAATGCTTTAAGAACGGTGGTGATCTGCAGTACAGGCGCATATAAGGATGTCGTACAAAGTAGTACGGTGGGTGCCAATTGCACGGACCAGTGTATGTGTGTATGTCTTATCCTTTCCGGATTCCGCCAGGCGCAAGTACTTGAAACGTTTGGAAAGAGCACTGGTACATCTTGTACGGCAATGCTTGTACGGTTTGTACGGCAACAAGCGGACTAGGTTGTACGGTATTCAGTTAGCATGAATTCCTAGCCTTTCACGCCGGCTTATAACAAGGCCAGGCGGGAGCATAGCGCGCATCCGTCCTCAGAGTGCGGCATCAGCGTTAGTAAAGTACACACTTTCCGTACCCCAGTGCATTCCTCCTTAACGTTACTCTAGCAGACCCGACCAGTATTCCCACTCCCCAAAACCTCCAAGCTAGCCCACGTAACGAATAACCGACCATCGATCAATCACTACTACCGCGCAACGCAGTATTCGACACCTAATGTGAGCCGTTCCGTTAGATGACTGGTGGGGTAAGTCAAGGTACACCACACCCGGTCACATCAGGCATGCCAGGACGCTGGTGAGGCTCAGGGTGCCCCCTCTCAGCGCATGTAAGGAGCATCCAAGTGTAGCTCTACCGCAACTATAGACAGGTCCGCACACAGAGGTACAGAAGCACCAATTCACAAAGCACACATTGCTGGTGCCGCAGCCTTCCGTAGTTCCAAAGCAGTACACACTGGATAACAATCATAATCATGTACGGCAATAAAACACCCTCAATCCGCACCGAGGTTGTGCGGGGTCACGCACACAAGTAAAGTAACATGTTGTACAAAGCGCACTTACCGCTTACCTACAGTGTTCCAGCGCATGCATTCAACTTGCCATGAATCATAATGCGGTTTCTCACGAAAATCACAAGGACGAGATGCCTAAAGGCTAACGCTGCTAAGGGCACAGGAACCTAGCTACACTACCCACAATACCTCGGCATAAGCATTGACTGGTAATCACATTTATACACGATGGACTAGCAACGTAAGTGCCCACCCAGGGCCTACCTACGTTTAATTCGACCTGTATGTACAGCACAAGCATGTAACCATGTTCGGGTCCTCGCCGCCATCACTGCCTCCCCGCACCTCCCCAAACGAGTCCACCTACCGCGACCCCCCACAGTTAACCATATCTATCCTGGGACAAGCCACACACATGGCAACAAAACATGTTGCTCCCCTCCACCGCTCGAGCACATCTAATTGCCGGTGTTCCCCGTTGACCTCCCAGGCACCTTGGTTCCAGACCAGTCGCCGCGATCCGAGTTGGGTTTTGACCTCGGGTTCTTCCCACAGGCGCCGCACTTCACCAGTGAGGGCATCTTGCCTTGGAACTCCCCGTGAAGGCAGGCGGCGCAGTACCTGGATGCAAGGGCGGCAAGGGAAAAGTACAAGTCGTAACAAATCGAGACCAAAGCTTAAATGTCCATGCTGCTTACGTTTAATGAAGCAAAATTGCAAGGAGTAGTGAAAGTGGCAAACAACACTGGCATGTGCCCGCATGGAATTAGCTCGGCAAGTCGCGCCATTGTGATCTCCAGGGTCATGTATCACCACAAATGGAATAGATTTGTAGATGGGTCATGAAAGATAAGAAAGATGCTGAGAGGAAGTGCAGGCGAAGCTCAGTGCGCCATCCGGCTTTTGTTCGCGATATGCGTCGAAACTTACTTCTTGCCACAGTGCAGGCACTTGAGGTTAGTAGACGGCCCACTTGAGGTGCAATACCAGTTGCACATGTTTGCTATTTCTGTTTGCTGAATGGCTTTGGGGCAAACGTCTAGAAGAGCTTTTCGTCTTGCTAGGGAAACCAGTGTGTCAGATGTTGCAATGTGTTCTACTTTATAACGTCTAAAACTTCCTCGGATGAAGCAGTTCTGACTGACTATGATGTGCAACTGGCGTGCTGTACCTTACGACTACTGCGCTGGTTACGGCCAAGATCCGAGAAGCCTTCAGGTCAACTACCTACGAACAGGTAAGGAGTTTCCGTGGTGTTTGTCCTGGACTTTGTCGTCTGAGAGTACATTCGGGGGGCCACTTCGGTCGACAAGGTTGTCAGACGACAAAGAGGAGGTGCCGATTTGCACTAAACGCTGCCAAACACTTACGATTATATGTATGTGTACGTAGTTCCGATCGTCATTATGCTTCTTGATATGTGCGCACAACATCTCTGCATCATTGCTTCCATCCATGCCACCTACGCAACCCGCTTTCCCAACATAAGGGACACATACACCGCATGCACATCGCCTGCAATCGAACGACGTCACCTATCAAAACTCGTTACCTGCCTTACGTAGCGAAACTTGTCATCGGCCTTCAAAGGCCCAGGCTCTGACAGCTATCGAGGGGTCTTGCTTGGACTATCCTAGGCTGCGCGCGCAACGCCGCTTCGCTTCGCATGCTGTCAGCGCTCGCGTCCCGTTCCCTTCCTGCAAGTACTTGACGAAGCTGGCATACGAACGTTCGTTTGGCTTGTGCAGTTAAGGGATTCCCCCATGATTCAATGCATGCGCAGTGCCCAACTTTCGTTACCCTAATCCGACGAACCCATCTGCCAACGCAAGCTTCCTCTTGTTGCTAGTTAAGTAGACGGCGTTATGACGCCCATGTAAAGTACCCCTTGACTAGTACACTGGCTTGATGCCCCCAAGCTTCTAGCCCACCGAGAAACGAGCACTCAATCATACGCACCTCAACCACGACAACTACCACCACAACCGCCACCCTAACGTTCATATACTGTTCCTGCTAGCTTCCAGCTGCCTGGTCAGTACAGCTAGTCGCCATGGCCACTACGAGCGCTGCTGCCCCCACTGCGGAGCCTCCATCAGTTCCTGATGTACCCTCCTCCACCTCCTACTCTGGTCCCTCCTCCCCCCTTTCCTCCACCTCCCACCCCTCCTCCACCGCCTCTTCCTCACTCGCTGACACCTGGAGGGAGCTGCGCGCGGGTCTGCGGGCGACCCTGTCGGTGCTGCCGGGGCAGGGGGACCAGGTTGATGGGCAGCGGCAAGGGGAGCGAGAGGAGCCGCCCGACCGCCACTACCTGCCTCTGCCGGCCCTGTCAAGCGAGCTGCAACAGCAGCAGCAGGAGCAAGAGCACGCTATACAACAACAGCAGCAGCAGCGTCTGAAGAAGCAGCAACAGCTTTTGGAGCTTTTGCATTGGCAGCAACAAGGGGAGCAGGAACGGCGAACACAGCGGCTGCACCCGAATCAGCAGCATCAGCAGGAGCAGCAGCACGAGCAGCAGCAGCCACCTTGCTACCAGCCGCCGCCGGCGGTGGCCCGGCAGCAGCCGGAGGAGGGGCCCTCCGGCGCTGCTGCTAGGGGGGAGGCGGCGGCGGCTGGGTTCAGCAGCAGGTGGAGGAGCTCAGCAGGAGGGGGAGGAGGTGGGGGAGGCAGCAGCAGTACCAGGAGCGACAGTGGGGACTTCTTGCGGTCGTGCGGGGAGTACGTGCGGGTGAGCGGCGGAAGCGCTGGCGGCAGCAGTGGCTGCGGCAGCGGCAGCCCTGTCGTTGGCCATCGCCGTCCCAGCAGCAATCCAATCCCCACCACCACCGCTGCCGGCAGCACCCTCCAAAGCTGCCCGCCACTGCAACATCCCTCCTTCCCACTTACCTCCTCCTCCACGCACACCACCCCTACCATCGCCAACCCTGCCACGCTCCTCCTCCCCACCTCCGCCCCCACCTCCACACCCACCTCCGCCGCCGCCCTCTCTCCCGCCCTGCAGCTGGGGTCCGCCGCGGTGGGCGGGGTGCTGGGGGCGGTGGCGGCCTTCGCGGTGTCCCCGCTGCTTGCCGCCGGGGTGGCGGGGGCGCTGCTGGCGGTGGGGGCGGTGGCGTCGGCAGCAACCACCTCCTCCCTCATTGATGATGAAGAGGAGGCTCAAGACAGCTCCGAGGACACCGGTGCCCCTTTGGTTATCGAAGTGGAGGAGGGGGAAGGGAGTGGCGGGGGTGTAGGGGCGAGTGAGGAGCGTGGCGTGGAGGCTTGTGGCGGCAGCAGCGGGGAGGGGGCGCAGGGGGCGTACCAAGCGTTGTATAGCCTAGGTGGAGGCGGAGGGTTGGGGAGGGCGGAGGCGGAGGCGTTTAGGGAGGCGGCGGTGGCGGCGGTGGGGGCGGTAGCGGGGGCGGTGGGCGCGATGGGGGCGGCGGTGGTGGGGGCGGTGATGGGAAGTGATGGACGAAGGGTCGGATGCAGGAGTAGCAGTGGCGGTGGAGGTGGTTATGAGGACGTCACAGAGGGATGGACGGAGCCGTTGTTGCCGTACACCGAGAGCGAGGAAGACGAAGTTGAGGAAATAGAAGAATGCCGAGAAGGAGGTAGAAGCACAAGGACTGGAGGTGGTGCTGCCGTGCGACAAGGGGGGAGGCGCCGGCAGAAGGGGGTACGACAGGGAGGGGGGCAGCAGCAGCAGCAGTTGTTCAGCAGGGCTCCATTGCCAATGTGGATGGATGCCTGGGTGTCGTGATGATTGGCGGCACACACTGATAACGGGGGCGACAGGGTGGTGGTGGTGCGTGATGGGGTAAGGAACGAGAACAAATTGTGAAAGTAATTGACTAGCGGTAATGCGAAGGGCAGGTCATGGTCCGAATTCCTGAGCGCCGGCTCAAGCACTAGTAGGGCAGGTGTTGGGCTCTCTATTCCGGAGGGGCGGCCGCTCATTACGATGTTGTTTCCCTAGGTGGGCAGTTTTGTGCTGCATTGGTTAATAAGTTTGGACATGTTTGGAGTGCCTTACGGGTGTTTTGCGCAAAGGAAAGGACCGCTGCTGTCGTCGTACTTGCCTTCTCTTCAGAGGGAGCCACACTAGACTTGAGGCAAGGGTGTGTGCACACAATAACGGATGGAAACAGTGTTTTGGGTGGTAGACGGTAATGCCTCTGCGTGTGGGTGCTGAGTCCACAGTGAAGCGTCCGGAGGCTACGGACGGCTAGTTGGAGACTGTCGTACACAAGCAATGAAGGCTCCGCCAAGAGTTGTTTTGCCGCGCCTGGTACTGCCTGGCAGATATCCCTAAATACCCCTTCTGTTATGGGTTGTGGCCGTTGCGGCTTGTCGAGCGGCATGGAAGGAAGAGAGAGGGGTCAGGGCTCAGGGGCCATTACACTTTGGTCATCTTTTGTCCTGTAACTGCTGATGTGAAGCGTCATCCCCTCGTGTTTTCCATGGTGAAGTGGGTATCTCTTGGACTTGGCCTAGGCCCCTTTGACCTAGAGGCAACCGACCACCTATGCAAGCAACGTGTAACGCACTTACAATCATTCCACGACGAACATCCAACACCCCATGCGTGTCATTATCAACATGCCTTGTCAGCTCGAGAAGCACCTCCTGTTCGGAGGAGGTGCACCCCTGCATGTACTATCTAGTAGGTAAATTAATCTTTACTCTTCACTGACACTCTCATCCCAGCCGCCGCTGCTGCTGCTGCCTGATGATTAGGCTGCCAAGCCTTGGCATGCATGGTGGCAAGCATTGACATCACCTCCCCCCCTGTGTTTATTTGCTTAGCAGACGACGTCGGGACGCCAGGCGGCGCCGTTTAGCTCTGATGCTGCTGTTGCTGCTGCGGGGGGTGTTGGTGCAGCGTCCGTGCAGCCTGAAGGGCCGATGAAGCCATTCCGCTGGACCCTGCCCCTGCGGTGAGTCTGGCTGGTCTCCCACCTGGAGAGATGCACGGTTTGGCACGTGGGTCGCTGCATGGTACCGGTAACCTAGATAGCATGCAAGAGCTGCAACCACCACTATGGCAAGCAAAGGCGTGAGACAGGCACAAACAGCGTGCAATCAGTCCTCTGTTCTAGGACTTCAATCGGCAGGAATGTATATCAGGCAGGGTGTATCATGCAGGGTGCATAAGCGAAGTTTGGCTTACGGTGATTAGGTATCAGCAGCAAGCGTGCAGCGGCGGTAGCGTAGATGCTGGTAGTAGCTCAATAGGTTGCACTTATTCGAGGGTTTGCGGGATTGTTGTCGGAATGCTATCATCGAGTTGTCCGTCACGTGTCACGTGTGCGCCCCGCACCCGGGTACCCAGAACTAGACGTTAGCGCTGATGGCCTTGCTTCCGTACGCCTTCTGTCGTACGTTCTATGTCTACCAGGGGTACGGTGTATACGGTGTGCTTACCAGCCAATTTCGTCATGCCTGCATTGGTTGTGTGAAGATACCGTACATTAGCATTGAGAATTAGGACCCCGCACCGCTTCCTCCTCATCTTTGCAAAACAGGCGCGCCGCACACAGCCCCGAGCGAGCCGGGCGGCTGCACAGCCTGAAAGACTGGCGACTGTACTATGGCGACACAAATGACACATTTGCCGTACGCCATGAATTTGAAATGAACCCCGGACATACACAAAACTACGTTGACATTTGCCGGTAGCATGCGGGTATACATCTCAAACGCACCACCACTTCCGCTGAGGAAAGGTCTTGTTGCCATACCGACCATGCAAGCATACACCGGTATGCAAGGAATTTCATATGTTCAAGGCAAGTGAAACCCTACGGCAATGGTAAACGCAAATCAGACAGAGGCAACCATTCCGAGCCCCCCGCAGAGAGGAATGGGCGGCTCTGGTACCTCAGAAACAAACCCTGCCCCCGGTTTATCTGCCAAAATGCAACAGCGCCCCATTCTATCTTACAATGAGAAAAACACATCAGATAACGGAACGACCACCTTCCATGATGTAAGCTTCGTGCCCCTCGCTACTGAAGAGTACTTCCATAAAAATACGTCCTACGGACGTATCCAACCATCCCGGTTGCCTTTCCGTCTTACATATAGACTAGCCTAGGACCTGCGAGCTTGATGCAACATTG